GTTCTTCGGTTTGCCCGGCTTGTGTATGCCGATAACGTCCGCTTCTTTCCACGCCGCGGGAAAGATGCAGTTCGTCATAGCAGCATTTAATATGGTGGCCAACATCGTTATCAGTTGGGCTGGTAACAGTTTAAGCGCGCGGTTGCGGATGCCGTCGGAGCCGGGACTTTCCGTGCAGGCTATGCGATCGCCCCATCCTTGGATCCCTCGTGAATCGGCAAGCGGGGCGGGGTAACGCGGCTCCGAGGGCCGCAACGCCCACCAACCCCGCCGCATCGATCCTCCCCTGCGACGTAAGCACTCGGTTGTGGTTCGCGGGTTCCCGCGTGGTTTGAGATGCGCTGGTTGTGGGATGGTGGGGTGCCACTTGCCTTCCTTGCAGTGCATCGGCTCCCAGGGCAACTCGTAGGATCTTGTCCCATCGTCCCCCATTGCTAAGCCGTCGATTGCGCTGCCGTGCGGTACACAACCGCGGCATAGTGGATACGACAGTGTTGCGACTGAAGCCCCCGATAGCCTACCTCCCCGGCGCCATGATGCTTCGGTGAGCTGGGGCGGCGAGTTTCTCTTTAAAAACTATCTCCAATTTGTTCGTTTCGGGCGTCGCACAACGGGCGGGGATTTAGACCCTCCCGCTTTGTAAGCGGGACCGCATCCTGAGCTCACCGGGTTGAATCCGTGGATATCGATCGTAGGCCCGCGGATTTGACATGTGCGGTTTGGTCGCGTAACTCGTAACGAGGTCCCCTAAGGACGGGGACCTGCAGGCCGCCATAACTGGCCTGAGATCTTTGTGATCGCAGCATATCAAAGAAAACAAAAAAACATGAGAAAAAAAATAAATAATATACAACACACTGATACAAAACCTCCAGAGGAACATACGAAACACAAGGTTGGAAGACGATGCGTCAGCTAAGCACGTGGCCACACCATACATATACGAATCAAACACATATCAGGAACCATCACGATAACTGAGATAACGCAGAATATAGAGTGGGGACACACGAGAAACGACCATGACACAACTCGCCAGGTTTTCGCCTCCCTCTCGAACTTGCCCCGCATGCGACCCGCAGCGCACGCAGTCTCACGTCCTCTCAGCAGAGGAGCATCTTATGGTGCCTCGGACGACGCGCCGGCGGCATTACGCTCAGGCGGCCATACACAGTCAGAGGATCGGGAGGGAGTTTAACTATACCCCGAATAGCTGAAGACATCCGTACTAATGAACCGCGTCCGAACGACCGTACATCCCCATCCGTATGCACGATGGCAGTATCCACCTAGTGTCAAGGTGGCATGTTAAATCGCACGTGCCAGGTAACTGACCGCCGTCCGCGGCCTATACTCGAAGCAGTGTCCGAGGTCAACTGCTCAGGAGGGTGTGTTGTCAGGGGGGGCAATAAAAAACGGATTGCGATGACCGATTCGGCTTGGTGTGGCCCGTCAGCGCGATGCAGGCCCACACTGAACCGCCTCGATATGTAAGGAAAGACAAAAAAATTGGAGGGAGTATCGAGATGGGACGCAGTGCAGGGTCCCCCTCCTATGAGTAATATGACAGTCCCGCCCTTGCGGGCGGAGAGTCTCGTCATTCCTAACCATGACGTAATTCGCCGGACTTTGGGGGTCGCTACCGCGAGGGCCTTTAGGAAGGTCTCCTGCACCAGGAAGGATGTCGATGAGATTGTCACGTATGAAACTCATAAAACCTGGTCTGCGGGCTTGACGCGCGAGTCCGTTAGCATTGTAGAATGCTAGACTTCAAAGAAGTGGGGTTTTAATCTCGCGTTGCACGCCATTGATTACCCCGGTCGTAAAATGCAACGCAGCGTGCGCTGGACGGTAACTCGGATGACGGTCGATTGTTACTCGAACAGTCGCCGTTCCTTAGGCGGTCCTTCGGCCGTGGACCGCTCTGCGCATGGCGTCCCGGCGAACGCACGCATGCGGTCGGAGATGTTTATCGTCGAGCGATGGTAGTCGCGCGGGAATAATTAGTAATGCGTTTGAGTGCGCGGGGCCGGGGCGAGGCGCGGGACCGGGCGCGGGCGCGGGGGCGGGGCGCGGCGCGAGTAGAGGTTGCGGCGCGTACCGCGGTTGGGGTGCCGGTGTCGTTCCTGCCTTCGTGAACGGCAACGGTTTCGCCCACGCGGAGACGGTGGGCACCGGAGCCGGTACGAAAGCCGGTTTCGGCGCGCGGGGCGCCGAAGTCTTTGGGCCAGCGGTTTTAGGGGGCGCGTTTGCCGGGCGCTTCCGTGGAGCCTTGGGGCATCCACGGTAGTTGGCCGTGTGTCCCTGCTTGCGGCAGAGTACACAGCTCGGCGGCTCCGTCGCTGTCTCCCACGCGCGACAATCGGTGGTCGCGTGATCTCTAAACATTTCACGCAACGCGGTCGCGCGTTGCAGTTACGCGCGGAGTGGCCATATAACTGGCAACGGCAGTGGCACTGCCGGGAGTGCCGCGTTTGTAGGGGGCCTCTACGGTGGACCCCAGATAGGCCCAGCACACGGTGCGGAGACCATGAGGCAATTTTCTTGCTCCGGTGTGGCTTCTAGTGCTACGAGCACCATATCGTACGCGAATTTGTTCGCGCCCGCTGTGCATCCGGTGCACACTTATGACGGGGTAGGACTGACCTACCAGGTCATTCTTTGATTTGCTCGACCGTCACGTCGAGCTCTTTGGGGACTCCGCGTATTACGACGCGGAGTTCACGCTCCTCCTGGAGCGCATAGGTATGATACCCTATGCGTTCCTTGCGGAGGTACGCTGTCAACGACCTGTGGTCGTCGGATGTCTCTACCTTGATCTGAATTCCATGCGGGATATTCCTCGCATGGACGACATTGATCTTTTGGGCCTTAAGGGCCAGGGACACGCGATCCCAAGAAGATTTTTCCCGCAGGATGACCGGCGTTGTTTATCTACATAGTTAGATATATATGCCGTGGAGTCATTAAATGTAATTTTTACGAATTTCAATATGTCCGACTAACTCCATAGCTTAGACATGTTATCAAGTGTCGATGGCGATCTAGTAAATTTAATAAATATAATAATAATAAATATTTTTTTTAGATATATTCGAAGATTCTATCGGAAGAATCTATTTTAAGTAGAAAAAAAGGCATCTAGCGTTAAAGTCTAGATAATTAAGTGTTTTATTATTGCTTAGGTGGGTGGACCAGCTCACAGCCCACCTGGTGTTAAGTGGTTACTGGAGCCCATGGACATCTACAACGTAAATGCGCCACCCACCTTGAGATATAAGTTCTAAGATCTCAGTATAATTACAACGGCTGCCCTACCCTTCAAACCGAAACGTATTACTGCTTCATGGCAGAAATAGGCAGGGTGGTGGTACCTACCTGCGCGGACTCACCACAAAGGTCTACCACCAGTAAGTCTAGATAATTTTCGTCAAAAAAAACTATTGTTAATGTTCAAATAGACGGAAGAGATAGCTAAACTGTCGTTGGATCCAATAGGCGAAGGTACGATGACGCAGAAGTTACATTTATGACGTAGAGAAGGAGTGGACCAGTTTTATCAAATTTTGAAGGGCATGTGAATTAAAGAGAATTACTCTAGCCCGAAATCCATGAGTGGCATCTCAAAAGGAGTGGTCTCAAAACTCTGAGATAGCATCCACTTATTTATAAAGAAGAAAAAAACGCCTAACCACTGGGACGCAGTAAAAGCTATATTGTATAAAAATTTGAGTAGTGTGCTACTTCTCATAGCACAGTGTGTATTGCGAATGTCGTTGTTGGGCAACTCAATGTGACACAGTATTTGCTTCGCTGTTATACACATCTGTTATGGCCTTTCACTTAAATGCGCGACGTATAGTCGTATCTAAGTCACATCTTTTACGCTACACAGCACACCTTCGATAGCTCAGTTGGTAGAGCGGTGGACTGTAGTTGTAAACGTGTGGATATCCATAGGTCGCTGGTTCAAATCCGGCTCGAAGGAACTTTTTTACAGGTAATGTAATTTTTTGATTCTCTTTCGTATTTCAGCTGGGTCACTAAAGTCAGTTACCAAAAAAAAAAATTTCGATAACTTTATCTTATTATTATACTATGTGTGCGTTATGTTCCACAGTGCTCTGAGAAATTGTTTGAGATGGTCCCGTCATTTTGTTTTTAACATTAGACCGGTCACCGTCAGGGTGGAGTTCGACCATATAACCTAGAAGCATTCATCCACAGTGCGTTTCCATAGATCTTTTGTCCCACGTACAACCTTGCCTTTTTTGCTTTTGTGGGTGGGTGGGTGCGATGGGACGAGCTCACAGCCCGCCTGGTGTTAAATGGTTACAGGAGCCCATAGACATCTACAATGTAAATGCGCCACCCACCTTGAGATATAAGTTCTAAGGACTCAGTATAGTTACAACGGCTACCCCACCCTTCGCATTACTGTTTCAACAGTAACTGCACAAGAGTTCCTATCACCAGTAATTACGCAAAGGAGAAACCCCATTTTGGGCTTAAGCGTTACACGAATGGGATATGTACCAAAAAATTCGTCTATTTTGCTTGATTAACCTATTGAAATCTTAGCTTCATTGACAATGGCCAAGTGTAGAAAATAAGTTGAATTCAATTTTTTGTTTTAAACAATCTTTGTAAACATCTGCAACACTTATTTCAATATACATACGTAACTAGCTCCACAAACGTGCGGATTAGAATTAGAACATCCATAAAATAGGATCGATTTAGTGGAAATCAAGTGTAAAAAATAATTAATACTCTTTTGCTTAAGGATAAATGACTGTTTTTATAGGTATTTTAATCAATGTAAATAGAGTATGGCCATCGAATCGTGACACAACTACTTACAATGGCGGCAATTCAAAATATCTACAACCGACAACATTAAATATAGCATGAAAGGGTAGTTTTGCATTTTTATATTAATGTGACTATGCCATAGAAAAACACAAATGTATCAAATCGTGTTATGTTATCTTTAATGTTGCCAACTGAAGATATTTTGGATTTTGCCGTAAAGCAGTAATGCGTTTCAGTTTGAAGGGCGGGGCAGCCGTTGTAACTATACTGAGACCTTAGAACTTATATCTCAAGGTGGGTGGCGCATTTACGTCGTACATGTCTATGAGCTCCAGTAACCACTTAACATCAGGTGGGCTGTGAGCTCGTCGATGGGTATCTAAGCAATAAAAAATAAAAATAAAAAAGGCATGAAATAAAATGAAATGAAATGTGATGAGATAATATTATGGGAGCACGTAATGATTTATATTTTATATAAAAAAGTTATCATATAAATATAGTTTTTCATATAAAAAAGTTTTCATTAAAATTAAAATAAGACTGACCTAAAGGTCTTAGTTACCAGGTCATAAAATCCCTTAAAAAAATCATTTCGTGCGCAGCGCGTTTCGCATTACGTTGTTTTTAATTTTTGGCTTTCGTTCGTTTTCGTAAACAACCTAACGCGCGATTTCTCGTAACAGGTTCCATTTTTATTTTAAAGCAACCTGTTGCTGCAACAGGTTTCGTAAAAAATTACTCATCTTTAGTAGGAAACAGCCTCAAAAATATCGTTTTTATTAAAATATCTCGAACAATAAACATAACCTAAAATGTAAACATTGTCTGATTTTACCAATTTGGCCATTGCTGGGAGACCTGAAAATTGGGCTCATGAAACCTTCTTAGGTATTGTAACTTATGCCCAAATTCTAGGACTGTAACGCCAGGCCCAAGTTTGTATGGATTTCGGGTTTGTCCTTTAATCTACAAAATTATAATTTTGCGGATTTGATTTTTATTACACGATGTTATTCTTTCACCGTGGAAGTCAATCGTGAACATTTGTTAAGTACGTATTTCATTAGAAAAATTTGCCTTAGAACAAATTTCCTGTTTCTACGGTATTTCCTGAGCACTGTGACACGTCGTTCTCCAAACGAGGCTTATAGAGAGTACTCGACGGTAGGCAGTGGCGGATGTCCTTGTCATCGCTGATGCCCATGAGCGACGGTAATCACTCACCATCAGTTGGTCCGTATACACTTCTGTCTCCAAGACCATTAAAATAAAGGCCTGCACTAAACATGATGTTAAGATAGGAGACGAAGTCCTTATTTTAATGTTATTTTTCAGTTTATTAATGTTATTTAATAAAAAAAAAAAAAGTTAAATGAAAATCATGCAATACCATAACAGTTAGTTCAGTGTGAGACTGATTTAGGTTCGGGTAAAACTTATTTATTTTATCGATAGTCTTTGGATTGAAATACGATTAAATAAAGTAAAACATTTGTGACAAGATAAGTTAATACATATAATAATTAAAGTTGAACTTATTTATTGCAAACATATACTACGAGTAGTACAGACTTGTCAATTAAGTTCTGCCAACTACAATGAGTATATTTCTAATCTCATTCAATGTTTGATCGATCGACCATTATGATTCTTAATGCGAAGGCTTGAGTTAATCCCACTAAGATATGTTACGGACCACTACGGGCCACGATCAATCTTATAGACGCTCCGTAGTGATCCTTTATCTTTATACTACACGCCGTTTTCTTATTCACTTAGAGGAATAATACACCTCAAATAAATTCAGCCGTTGCCTTAATTTTTGATCTCTCTTATTTTCTTCAGTAAAAATGACTTTAACTCGACGACAAAACAAAAATCATAAAGACAAAAGAAATAAAAATTTATCTCAAGCAAAACACCCCATAAAATGGAAATGTCTCGAGAACTTTATAAAAGCGATAACGACCGAAGTTGTTCTGAGCTTTGTTCCATCGCTTACATAAAAGTCGCCATTTTGACGTGAGCTGCTTTTGAAGAAGATCGCTTCAGGTCACCTCGGAGTGTGAAAGATCTTTGTAAACTGGACGATGTGTACCTAGATACGCAGTGAGGTAAAAAATACGGCTCTAGGAGTGTACGTTCTTAGCCCCGCCCCCCCTCTCGACACGCCCACAAAAATCCTCTCCTGAAAGGACCAGAGTGAGATACTTCTTCAGTCACGGTATAATAGAAATGAAGTTGTGAGCAAGAATACATAACGACTCAAATACAAACAAAGTTTAAGTGTGTGGGTTCCAAAACTGAACTCACACAACTACCCAATAAGTATGTATTCTCTATTCAATAAGTATATATAAAAGCCTAATTTTAGTATTGTGAGTTGAGTGTTACTTTTAAATGAAACCTGTTTTAAACGAAATCAGTTTTCGTTCGATTGAGAGCTACTTTACTTCTATTGTATTCCAAAATAAGCTTTTGATTTTGTTTTAGACTAGTAAATCCGGCCACGCTCTGCTGAAATCATCGCTAAATGTGTCAGCCATTTTTTTAAACTTCACGCCCAGCCT